TCACAAGAGGACTTTTGTCCTTTCTTATAGATTGGCACAATCAGTGATTGAGACCAGTCAGATGGGATTACGTCCAGTTCCCAAATTCTACCTAAGACCTCGGTTAATCTCATTGCTAATACTGGACCACCATCCTTAAAAATCTCAGGAGTAAACCTGTCAGGGCCTGCTGCTCTCCCTCGTTTCAGATTTCCTATGGCTTTTTCAACTTCGTAAAGAGACGGAGCACCTACATTAACTTGCCATTCAGGTTGACTGGGGATCGTGGGAAACCGAAGTGTGGCTGAAGGCCAGTTGAACTGATCCCTGAAGTGTTCTGCCCATCGATCCAATCTCCTGGATTGAGAATGAATAATATGTTCATCTTTCTCTGAGATTGTTTCGCTAACGGTCGGGTTCCTAATTCCGGTTTCCTTAACGAGTCTGAATAATTGTCTGCTATTACCTATTGCCGCTGCCTTCTCCATCTCTCTTTCTTTCGCTACCCACCACTGTTCGCGATCATTGCGTAGACTTCTTGTCAGCTTGCGCTTAAGCTGACTCCGCTCTTCACTATGTTCAGAGCCAGGTGGAATGAGTTTCCGAGCATCTATCAGTGCGATAGATGCTGCTGAGATCCAGTGTCGTTCCCTAACCTTACGGGTTACCGTACTTGCAGATATCACTGCTGTTTCCACAGCTTTTCGGATATCATTCCATGCTGCCTCGGGGTGGGCATCACATACATGGCTGCCTAACTGTTTTCCTAGTTGTTCCTGAAATATACTCTTAGCTTGACTATTATTAAGTAGGCCCCTAAGAGGTTTCCTTGCAGCGTCTTTCCTACGTCCAGTAAGACGCAAGCAAATACGCGCTCGTACTAGAGCATGATCTAAATCTAAGCATGTGCTCCAGAATGAGCGACAGTCTTCTATCGCGCCCCTCCATCGGTGGCTGATGGCGATGTGATCTATTTGGGTCCAACGTTGGGACGAATTAGGAGGTCGCCATGTTGAAAGATGCTTTTCCATATGCTTAAAGTTAGTATTTGCAAGGAACAGGCGATTATCTGAGCATAGCTGCAACAGACGGTCGCCATTATCTGTTCTTTGAACCACGACACCATAAGATCCACCTAGGTGTCTTTCCCTATCGCTTAGTTTACCTACTTGAGCATTAAAGTCACCGGCCACTATTACTACATCCGAGCGCCTAGCTTTTCGGAGAAGGTCGGAAAGCTTTCTGTAAAACTCATCTTTTACATCATCTGAGCTGCAGTCAGTGGGAGAATAGGCAGAAACGACGAAGAGGTAACGACGAGTGTCCCTATCTTTCCGTGTTCTTACTGTTCCGTTCAGTCGGACAGCGCACAAACGGCTGTCTACTGGGATCCACTCTAAGAGAGCTAGTTCTGCTCTGGGACTTAATGCTATACCTACGCCGGCGAGGCCACGGAAAGCAGAATCAGGGCTTCCAGATACACGAAGTGTGAATCGAGTCGGTTCTTTATTTTGACATGGTGAGGTCAGAGGAATGACGCTACTTGGATCCTGTATGCGCATTTCTGAGACGCAGCACACATCGATGGCGCGGGATTCTAAAGTCCTAGCTAAGGAAGCCTGCTGTCCTATTTGGTACAGTGTTCGGACGTTAAAAGCTCCTACGTGTAGTTTAGAGCGTGGTTTCAGGAGACCAGGAATAGCGTTCCACGTACTCGAATCGCTTGCCCTAGTGGTGCGACGTGATAAAGAGACGTGAGGAGGGTTAGTCATGGAGATAAGAGACGTATTAGGAGGTGTAGGAAGGATTTGAATGTGACCAACTTGGTCTCGTGTGCTGTTACGGGTATGAGGGCTGATGTCACTTCCCGGCTGCCCACACCGTGGAAGGGTATTTCTTGAGGAACCTGAAAAGGAAATTGGATTAGTGTTGGTCTTGACGACCTGGGAGCGTGACCGCAGAGCCCAAGGGACAACTGCTTGAGGCCGGTCGCGCACGGTCTTTTTGTGGGAGGTTTTTAATGTGTTAGCTCCGTTTTTGTCAATGGGTCTTACCGCCGGAGACGGAAATCCGTGAGGTAAGGTGAGGTGTGACATTTTTAGGGTCAACCTTTTCTAACCCCTTCTTTCCATGCGAAAAGGCAGCATTGCTGTCATGCTGGTTGTCCGACGGAAACACCTTACTGCTGTCACACCCCTCTACAGTCAGCAGTACGACTTCACCCTCAGACCTTGAGTTGCTGCTTTTAGTCTTACCGTTCCCCAATTGACCTGCCTGGCACGGTAGAACCTACAGGAACATATGTTCCAGCCAATATAGCTTGGTTGGGTCATCACGATAGGCAAGCCCGACCACCGCGTCAAGGTAGCAGCTTCGGTCGGGATAATCAACTCCGCCACAAGAAGAACCATACAATGAATGGATCAGTGTTGATATACTGGATACGATTCAAGAAAGGAGGAACAAGAAGACAGCAATCAATACTAGCCGAACAAGAGCAGAAAAAGCTAAGGCACAAGCCGGATACACAGAAGTAGACAACCAAGTGAAGAGGAGTACCACAACCGATAAACGTAAATATGCAGAAGATTTAGCAAAGACGGCGGAAAAGGCTGCAAGAGAAGGGAGATTGAGACAATTGTATGACACAACAAAGAAACTCGCTGAAAATTATTGTAAACCAGAGCGACCAGTGAAAAGCAAGGAGGGCAAAGTAATCACCAACATCCAAGAACAACGAAACAGATAAGTAGAACACTTGATTGACTTATATTCACATTTAATGGATTGTAACTTAAATATCAAGTATGGATTTTATGTAGTCGGCTTTTAATTACAATGTAAACACCTGGATGGAATGTGAGGTTCGGATCTGGAACTCTTACTAACTGAAAGTCGAATATTTTAGTCGACAAAATCCAAACCTTCAATTTGTACGGTACTGTATTTCATATGATAATCAATGAATTATATCCATACATAAAAGGAAATGTATGAACCGTCGTACATATGTCGACCAGCTCCACTGAACATGCCCAACATCGAAGCAGCACCCACGGACCTCCCAATCAATGTTGGCCCACCAACAATTGAAGAAATCAGCATGGCCATCAGACAAATCAAGAGTGGTAAAGCAGTAGGACCAGACAACATTCCAGCAGAGGCACTAAAAGCAGACGTAGCGGCAACTGCAAGCATACTCCACATTCCTTTCAATAAGATTTGGGATGAGGAACAAGTACCAAAAGACTGGAAAGAAGGACTTCTGATCAAAATACCGAAGAAAGGAGATCTCAACAACTGTGATAACTACAGGGGCATCACTCTTCTCTCAATACCAGGAAAAGTCTTCAACAGGGTATGATTAAACAGAATGAAGGACTCCATAGACGCCCAATTTCGAGACCAACAGGCAGGATTCCGTAAGGATAGATCGTGTACAAACCAAATCTCAACACTACTGATTATTCTGGAACAATCAACTGAATGGAATTAATCACTGTACATCAACTTCATTGACTATGAGAAAGTATTTGACAGCATGGACAGGACAACACTATGGAAGCTTCTTCAACACTACGGCGTGCCTCAGAAGATAGTCAATATCATACAAAATTCCTATGATGGATTAAATTGCAAAATCGTGCATGAAGGACAACTGACAGACTCGTTCGAGGTAAAGACCGATGTTAGTCAAGATTGTTTACTCTCACCCTTTCTCTTTCTCCTGGTGGTCGACTGGATCATGAAGACATCAACATCTGAGGGGAACCATGGGATACAGTGGACAGCTAGAATGCAGCTGGACGACGTAAACTTCGCAGATGATCTGGCTCTTCTATCGCACACGCAACAACAAATGCAGAAGACGACCAGTGTAGCAGCAGCCTCAGCAGCAGTAGGTCTTAATATACACAAAGGGAAAAGCAAAATTCTCCGATACAACACAGCATGCATCAATCCAGTCACAATTGACGGAGAAGATGTGAAAACCTTTACATATCTGAACAGCATCATTAATGAACACGGTGGATCTGGTGCAGATGTGAAGACGCGGATCGGCAAAGCAAGAGCAGCATATCTACAATTGGAGAACATCTGCAACTCAAAACAACTGTCTGTCAGCCAACACCAATGTCAGAATTTTCAATACAAATGTCAGGACAGTCCTACTGTTTGTGGCGGAAACTTGAAGAACTACGAAAGCCATCATCCAGAAAATATAGGTGTTTATTAACAGTTGTCTAATCAAAATACTTCGGATCCGTTGGCCGGACACCATTAGCAACAACCTACTGTTGGAGAGAACAAACCAGATACCAGTGGAGGAAGGAATGAGGAAGAAGTGCTGGAAGTGGATAGGACACACATTGAGAAAAGCATCCAACTGTGTCTCAAGGCAAGCCCTCATTTGGAATCCTCATGGCCAAAGGAGAAGAGGAAGACCAAAGAACACATTACGCCGAGAAATGGAAATAAACATGAGAAAAATGAACAAGAATTGGATGGAACTAGAAAATAAGGCCCAGGACAGAGTGGGTAGGAGAATTGTTATCGTCGGCCTATGCTCCATTGGGAGTAGCAGGCGTAAGTTATAGTCAGTAGTTCAACATGAGAAGTAAATTAAACTTCGGTTATTGGACACTAAAATAACAACGGTCGTGGATGTGCACTGTTAAGTCCCATATTAAGACGAAACAGTCATTCCGTTAGGGAACGAGGAAGCTAAACAATAGATGACTCGAAATGATTCGCTTTTATCTACTACATGACCATTGTCAACCAAATGTCATAAACTGCCTTAACTGGTATAATATTTTCAATTATCCATGTTTATTGGTGTAAAGCCTAATGACGAACTAACTGAATGGTTCGCTCATAAATCTTGTTCTAATATACATGGTGGGAATTTTCAAAGTATCTTGATGATATTTTTATAAGAACTTAAAATATTTCATTTTGGTGAGGGAGGGAAAAAATTGATAACAGATATTATCAATCCTGAAAATAAAAACACTCACTGGGAGAACTACTGGAATGTTGAAAAAATGAATATGTAGCAGGTAGATCAAATGATGACGGACAACATTGGGAAATAATAACATTATCATTAAGACTATCGACAATATCATTTGATTTATGTTGCTCCATCGAAGCATCATAACTGATTATATCATTATGACTATTATCATTAACAGTATTAACACTAGTTTCACCACCGACTGGTATTGTTGACGATACAGCTAGAAATGGTGTTTCTTCATTTTTAGCATCTTTAAGAGCTACCCACTTATCATTGTTAAAATGAGTATCTGTTGTATCTAGTAAAAATATTCTACCAGTTGGAGCTGAATGAAAGCGTTCAAATCCAGTGTCATTAACCTATAAATAAGAGAACTAGCTTAGAAAAAAAGGAAAATACATTACAAAATATCCTATAGCAAAATAAATATGTTTATCTCACTGGTTGACGCACTCACTCACAACTCACTTCTTCAACAGTATCCTCAGCTGACATTAGTCTATTCTGTCTATTTATCAAATAAATATTCACAAAATCTTCGATCAAGATGTAACGGTGTGCTTACTAGAGACTTGCTTCTAGGTGAACCTCTCAAGTTCTAGTAAAAAGTCATTATTGATGGAGTCTAGTCATGTTAGATGTGTGACAAGTACCGTCGATGGTATCAGATGGTCATTGTGCTATATTGTGAACTGGTTGCAGTTGAAAACATTGACCACTGCATTCCGAATCAGTGCTCTGAAGATTAGCTGGTTTCCATGGGATTTGATGGTTTTAAGTTAGGTTCCGGATGGAACTTCATGCTATGAGGACATGCATAAAGAGTGCATATAGGTAATATTTGATTGTAATCAAACTTGCAAAGAAACGATTGGTTACAAGTTCATAAAGAAACACCTAGCTAACAGCCTATTGACAACGCAATTCTTGATCATTTCTAAGAGAAAACGTAATTCGTACACAAAGCATTTTTCCAGCAATCCCAATTCGGTTATCCAGAAATGTAAAGTAGACGTTGTTTACAAATCGATCTATCCAGTTGGAACAATTTTATGGAAATACATAGATATCTAAAATTACTGGATTGAGTGACTACTGCCCTTAACAATCCAAAGCTATTATGATATACATATAATGAGCAAAATAAATTCTTGTTTCATGGGCGAATTCACTGAAAATCTTTGTTAAGATGACATAATCATTGATCTGACCTCGAGATGGATTTAGTTTATGCAACAATCATAAAAAGAGTCAAGTCGAAAATCAAACGAAAAGATCACTTGAATTAAATCAAAGCAGTAATTTATTGACTTATCACATCATTTACTGAGGAGAGCCGATTAACTTATACATTGGAAGACGGTTGAGCGATATTACGAATCCACTGAAATTAAACATGTAAACCACTGGATGTTAAGTGTTCACTTGCAGGACTGAAAGTCCTGGGTTTGATCCCCAGTGGAGGAATCTTCGAAATGCACTGTTAAAGACTATCGAACCAAGGAACGAGACAGATGTTTAGTACTTGTTTAACTAAGATTATTCCGTGATGCTAACCATGTAAACTAAGATTTGTTTGGATACGAGATCAGATCATTTGTGGGAAGAATTCAAACGCTTCAACATTACTTGAAGTTCTGCATGACGATGTTGAATTTGAAGTAAGTAAACCTTAGTGGCAATTTATATAAGAAAAATGTTCGTGAGTTGAAATATGAATTCATGTAATAGACAAAATCTTCAACTCACTTCATTGCCTTCCAACTTTTTACGAGTTCGTAACATTCGGCGATTCCACATAGCTGATAGGATAACTTTCACTGCGTGCGGTTTATGAGCAGAAGTTGCAGCAGGTGCAACTGGGAGACTAAAAGTCGTGATACTGCTCAACTAAAAAGAAATACAAATAAAAAGATTAAGTCAAGACTATACGATCAATTAAGCAAATAAGAGCCTAACAAAATATGAATCAAACTATCGTTTTTAAATGATATAGAGGTTATTAAAGCAAAAAATTGTTTTATTCGTTAGTTATATGATACAAAGCTACAATTCAACTGTCTAATTACACATATAGAGCAATGATTTATTGATTGTAGAACCTAGCTCCTAACCAGCAGGCCACAGATTCGAACCAAGCCTCGATTACTTCGGCTTGGACAGCAAGGTATTATTATCATTGGCCTTTATACAAAGAGTTACACAGTATACTGTTTTTATCTATCCAATGAAATGACAAAAACCAAACTAGTTCCTAAAAAGTTAATTATCTTTGCTTATTGTCCACAAAATCACATTTATTTCGAACATCTGCCATCATGAAAGTTATGAATTTAATGACAATGACTTACTTCACGTAGATAAACCGGTCTCTGAGATTCAATAGGTGGCACGACAGAAGAATTAGCAAAAGAGACCTAAAACAAAAAATTGGTATAAGATTATATTCATAGATAAGAGACTGAAATGCAAAAAATAGAAATAAACTTAAATTCTTAGATTTCCATTGTGGCATTTTACAAGATACAATAAATATAAAAGGTAAAATAGTTATTCTGATTTTATGAATTGTATAATCGATTCCGAAAGATTTCTTACTATTCTCTTTTAAAGATATTACACAGTACTCAAGATTAGAGTATTCTAATGAAGTAGTTTCAATGATTTGCAAGTATAAATATCCAAAACTCCGATGTCTTTCCATATGTTTTAACAAACAAACTCGTTTGAATAGTTGGAAGACGTTATCTCAGATTTTGGCAGTTTAAGTTTGAATAGGCGTTGTAGAAAGTCGATAATCATATCAAAACCCAGTGGTAAAATGGCTTCTGCAAACTTTAGCAACCTTGAATCGGATATAGGATCACTTTTGACGAAATTTACTCTGGAACAATCTACTTTTTTCAATTCTCATTGACTTGCAGTGAGACCCGACAATCAAACAAGGGTAAAAGTGAGCATCTTATCCTTAGTCGTAGCGTGATTGCTTTCACGAGCTGTACATTCCAGCACTTTTTTTATTTTCTTTGTTATTAGGGAAATTAAAAATGGTACTTCAAATTTCTTAAACGGTAAGTGTTTATATTTCAGAGTAGAATTTTTTGTTTTTAAATCAGTCGTTAAATGATAGCTTACGTCAGTATATTCGATTTAATCAGAGAAATAAAGTCACTAATCCTTCAAAAATAGTAACATTTTAAAATGGTTTAACATTGTCAGAAATGCCGAAAAATAGTCATGATAGTCTTAAATATAATAATAATAATAATAATAATAATAATAATAATAATAATAATAATAATAATAATAATAATAATAATAATAGTAATAACGTACTTTTCGTCTATTGATAATCTTCATTGGCACAGAATGTGAGCTTGAAGCCAGCTGAAATTTTGAAAGGATATGAGACGTAACAACAAAATAAACATGTAATAAAGAACAACTTAGCGATAGTAACTTACACGATGTCTTAACGACGATCTCGATATATCGCATAGACCTGGAGAGGCAGTCAGCTATAATAAATAATAAAAAAGCAAATAGGACATCAAATCAATACTTTCTTAAAAATTTGAAAACATGAGCACTATTGTGCCTCATTCGTTTATTAATTTTGACAGAATGACATGTTTGGATAATTTTTTTAAAGAAAATTTAACTATAAATCGACTGCGAAATTTGAGACATGTATTAGATTTTCTGTTCTTCAATTCAGTAGGTAAACGTAGATGTATAACAATAATGGTTAGTTAACGTCGATGGAATATTTAATCATTTCTCGTTAATATCATGTATCAACGTTTTTAAGCGTAATGAATTTGTTGAAATCGTTACACTAAAACATGATACTGATGTTTAGAAGAGTAGGGTTTTTCTGCAATACAATGACATACTTATATACAAAATATTAACACAAAAATTCACAGAATAAGAAGTCATAAGCGATTGCAGAAAATCTGTTCGTAGGTCAATCACTCTCCAATTAATTAAGACCTGAATGTAAGGCTTAATTCTTAGGCAGCGTATCAATGGTACATATTTCAAATGTATTGTAACGTAACACAGCAACAACAAATAAGCAACTAGTGGTTATATCCTTGAGAACAATAGTGATTTCAATAAATTATGATTAACTTACAACTGTTAAACGATCACCTTTAATGCTTCCATAACGTTTTATTAAATACCGCAACCGTCGTTCATTCCAATCCTCAATAGTAGTTTCACGAGAATCAAAGCCAAAAAATGATAAAGAACCATCAATTACTGAATTTATAGGTCTAAAAAATATTGATAGATATTTCAATGCAAAATAGCAATAAAAATTACCTCATCATATTACGACGTGAAACATTCCTGGAATAAAAGAATTTGCGTAAAATAAACTATAAACATCAACTACCTTAAAATATTGCGTGTTGCTTCATTTCTACCCAGACTATCAGAATCTCTTCGTGACATAATCAAAATTAATGTTAATGGCGTAAAACAGCAAACATTGAAATATATGTCAGCTGGTTTGTCTGTGAAGCCAACAAACAACTAATTATATTATAATAAAAGATCATAGTAGTCTGAGAATTGAGCAGAAAACACAATATACAAAAACTAGTTGGTAAGATGCTGAAAACGAAAACGTTTTTATTCATATAGGCGAACAGTGGGAGCAATAAATATAAAACAATTTATCCATACCAAAATATGTGATAAGTCACGTTCTTTATTGATTTTTAGTAATAATATTTCAAAGCTATAGCTATATATGCACACGGGCTTCCAAACATATGCACACAATCATGTGTACGTAAATTACTTGATGACAAAAATATTTGCTTTATAACAGAACCAAGCGAATGACAATGTGATTTTTAAAAGATAACAGGTAAAGCTAAAGTAAAGGGATAAATTCTACGAACTAATAAAACCACCTTAATAATGTTCTGCCGCTTTTTGAGTATGAGATGGGAAAGTGAGTAGTTCCTAACAAAAAACAAATGAAACCAAAACATCTGGATGTAGCACTGAGATTGAAAGAAGACTAAATACTTTCGTAACAGATTATGCGCTGTTCAGCTAGACAGTACAGCAAGAACCTACGAAGATAGGGATATAAGCTGATGCTTCTACATCATTTTATTGGAAGCTTCATGACCTTCGGAAAGTCATGGAGTCAGAAACGATCATTGAGGCAGGTGACTTTAGACCTGAAGTCGGTAAACCGAGTCAAGCTGGTGAATAAGTCGTGAAAATCGTTCAACAAATAAGCGGGTATTTTTTCATCCCGACCAACTAAACAGAAAACTGTGACCTACTACAATTATGATCAAATATCTTATAGTTAAATTACTTCCCATTAAAAAGGCGTCAACGTTGAGCTTGATATGAGACGAAGTTCAACCGAAAAATCTACAACATTAATACAAACAGACTATATTCACATCAAACATCGTAGAAAAAGCTTAACAGGAAACTGTTGCATCTTTTACAACAAATAATTGAATTGAGATCATGTTCTAATGCGACGATCTGTTTCCCAGCAACTTGATGGGTGAACAAAACTTAGATAAGAAAGACCACAAATATATCAATTACGAAATAAATGTTAACGATCGTTTAACGAAACAATAGAAAAACACACAGGTGCTTCACATAACGTCATGTAAGTGCCATCGAGCTATCTTGTGAAAACACTGGCAAAATGCAGTATTCCGATGCATACATGGAACTTGTTTCTCTCCCTCTTTATGTAGAATTTCGTTTCAGAACACCGATCGTACGGACTGAGGAATTTCAACACCTATCTAATTTAAAGGTACCATCAGCCTTGAGAGGTTGTTATCTGGAGAAATCTCGTCACTTATTAAGAAACCTTGTTAGGATTTTGTCAACTTGGCCCATTTTTAATGTGATAGAGATGTCCGTCTGCCAATCAAATGGCGTGCGTAATACTTATCAGTCCCATCTGTATTAATCTGTTTGAAATTTTATCTTTGAAACCAGAACATATGCGTAGGCTGTGAGGTCCTCATAATACTTGACTTCCAAGCATTTCTCAAATTTTGTGAAACAGGTAAGAAATATTGTGGATGGGCATAGTATAAAAAGCAAAGATAGCAAATAGTTTGTCAAAAATGTAAATCGTCACAAACAGTAAGTTCACTGAGCAACATTACCGAATATACAACAAACAAACTAACTAAATGTGCAAAAGTAAAATGCTCACGAAAACATTTACGAAAAAAACACGGCGAAACTCAAGAATTCATTTTCTACTGATCCGAGTTACTTTGGTAGTCGTAGACTACTTGGTCAGGGTCTGCTTGACAACAGCGATCAGTAGCCTAAGACGTTGGGTGGCACAACTCAGGATTGGTCACAGTGGCACAGATACATTCATTTTTGTTATCGCCATCCAAGTCTTGAATACCAGTACTTTTTCACATGCATCTTTTCATCACGTTCTGTCGAACTATAATATTAATGTTTGGTCTTTCATATTATAAATGCTAATACATTAACTGCCCTTCTTCGACATTCAATAGTATTTACCTAAATTGATTTTACTGGTATAACTAGTTTAAATACAAAGTCAATTCAAAAGTAAACCACTTCTTAACTTGCAAGTATTTACAAGGAAAGATTGTGTTCAGTGAGTATTTAGTTATTCCGAGTGGGAAAGTGACTTACTAGTCAAAGCAATCCTCTGTCAATTTGCGGTCTATAGGTTCAAATGCGAATTAGCGTGCTTTGGTTTGGGTATTCAGGTAGCCTCAGTGGTTCCTACAAAATGGAATTCGATCAAGTATATGAAATGCTATTTTTTTATACCAAGTTTCACTGGTTAATCATCGATCACAACTACTACAAATCCGTAATAAAGCAACAGCTCTGACTCCAATGACAACTACTCAGACGTTTATCAGGTCACAACACCATTTAAAATAAAGTCAAACTGCTTTAGTTAGTACTTTGAAATGTAAGTGATGGTTAAAAGGGTCACAAGTTCAGTTCTTAGTTTCAAACTTTGTATTTTGCTTATCCTAAATTTGATTGTAATTACACCTCAATTCTACAAAAACTCTAACTCTATGGGTTAGTTAGTTAACTCCATGAGCTAGTTCCATCCACGAGTTCTGACTTGTTCAGCAAGTCATTTACCTCATATTAATTAACCAACGCTCAACATATCTTAGATTTTCTTACAGGCTACCATGAGCATAGAGAATACGTTCAGTTCTTGTAGGATGATTTATAGATACTGATCAGAAGTAGATCTGCAAACTCACCAAGTGTATTTTTAGTCCAAGTTTCTGGGTTTGGAGAATTTTGTGACTATTTCTAAGTAAATTACTTCTGGAACAACTCCGGGACGAAGACTTTCGAGGTGGAGCACAATGTAAAGATATAGTGACTCTTCATATCTCCTACATGGATGTATTCTAATTGTTGGACAAATATTGATAAATCTGACACCATGTGACTATTGAGTCCGTCTTACATTCCTAATAATTCTATATATCTTACAAGTAATCGTGACTTTCTATATACTTATTTTTGTTATCCATGCCCTTGTTGACCATACATGTGTTACTATATGCGCTTTGTTTGTGGGCATGCCTGTTCACCAACTACTCTGTTTGTTGTCCACTTACTAGCCTAAATTACTCTGTTTTACCTAAATAAGGTAAGGCATAGAATTAATTAACGAACTCGTATGTCACCAACCCCAAACCATCGTTTATTTAGTCGACAATCACAGTTTATCTGTGGATAAGCATGTATGAAATATATAGCTCCTACTAAAATCTCGTATTTTTACTTCTGGTATACCGTCGTGTTAACATGTTGGGTTGTAGGAATATATATAAAGATTGCCCCCAAATGCCCTAGTACGGCCGAGAGTAGGGAGAGTCCGCTCTCCCTCTCGAAATGCTCTCACATGGCCACGTGTATACAGCCTCCGCCAGGGAAGTCCTACTTATTGCTTTCTCGTGGCGGGGGACGAAAAGTGAATGTCCGGTGGTTTAACCGGATCCCAAACCAAATCAATGGTGCACATGGGCCCTAGTATCCTGCGGGAACAAATAGCGTATGAACCGATCGTTGGTCACTAGATTCCATGGGGCTGCATATCCTTACGATACTCCACTGCCTTGAGGATCAGACCTTCAGGTCGAAGGCTCGGGGAGTGGCCTCTTAAGAAAACCACCCGCTTCGTTTTGGGCACCCCGGCAGTATCACAGCCCTCATACATATCGAATGAGATTTGTGTGGCGCATATGTATTTGGTGCCTCCTTGTACTAATATCTATGTGTTTAAATAATAATAATATATAAAGATTAACATGCGACATACATGTGTATACGCCACCATGATTCACCATCAATTGGAGTAAAAAAGAGCCAAAACGACCACTTTGAAGAGATTATACGTGCATTTTCCATTAACTAACTCTATAAATGACTTAATGAACAACTCCACACATAAGATACTTCAGGTAGTTAGCTTTCATTGTGTTTCAAAGAGCTTTAAAATTGTGTTAGTTCAGTATGTTAAATAAACATGAGACACTAAGTAAGTTAGATTATAGCTTGAAGCGTCGAGACTTGTGTCAGGTCTGAAACAAGATACCTTGGCAGTATGCCAAAGACTAAGGAACGAGGAGACTAACTTATGGACTTTGAACGGATTTAAGTGACCTTGAGAATATTAGCTAGTCAGCAACTGTATGTAGTGGAAATATATTATACAAAACCAAGGAATTATAATGGATACACTTCTTATACGTGGTTCAAAAACTTGTCAAGGTTAAAAAGAGGTTCAGAGGTTCTTGAATCGTAATGCATACAGTAGAGGAAATCATCCATACGACTACAGAATTGCCGGCCGCCGGAGCCATGATAAAGTCTCAAAAACTCTCTCAGCCTTAACTACATAGTTTCAATATTGTTTATGTGCACTTCCGTTTTTGAGTACACAAAACGCTACTTGTGGATAACGACACGATGCAAATAACCAAGCCTATGTAAAAGTCTGTAGGCTCTTCAACCTTTTTTATATATTGTAGTGTCTGTCTGCAGCCAGTATTACTGGTACTTTTATTATCCAGTTCGCGATTATTGTCATAAGTTGTCTCTGTTAGGCATAATGTATGGTGTTTTTATCGCGAACTGACATCAGCTGTAATTCCATAAACCTGTTTGGTCAAATAGGTGAAAGGTTTTCGAGCCCAAATACGAGATCTGTTATCTTATACCTGATTGATTCGTCCACAGATTATATTCTCGCCGTTTTATATGTTATAGCCGCTAAATTATCACGTTTTGTACTAAATTTCTTGGGAACCCATCGCACGTTAGCATTAAGCACTGAAGTTGGCGCCCTAACCTTGAAATACTCCAAACGCAGGTGAATCACTCGTCCATAAATTAAAGTCTCGCCAAAAAATAGTGAACTATGGTTTTCAATAATGAAACAAAGTGATACTGGTTATAGTTATAACCACAATTCAAAGTGATGTGATAAATTAATTTCGTCTTGGAATTATCAATAAACAATCGCGATTCAATATGTAATGCATAATGTCTTTGTAACGAGCCAGTTCCAGTCAACTTGTTAGTTATTTGTTGATTTGTATATCATACGCTTTGATAATGTGCACCAGTGCGGTTGAGCGCTAGAAAAGCACTCACTGTACTATGATATTGGACATTATACATTGAATCGCGACTGCTTATTGATGATTCTGAGACGAACTTAATTTATTACATCGTTTTGAATTGTGGGCATAACCAAAATTCACACAACTTTGTGTCATTATTACAAACCGTATTTTGTTTACTATTTTGTTTTATGCTACCAATTCACCAGTTAGTGTGATGGCAAATGTTCGGTTGGGGGGTAGTTTGCTGGGATTTGGAGTTTTAGTACTGGAAAACTTTTTGGGCTTTCAATTCGTGATTCTTTACATTACTGAAAGGTATTGTCTTATTGTGATAACTTCCGTCTCTGAATCACAATAGCTTGAACTCATTTCGAAAGCTCGAGTAATTTACCATAGTAACATCTTGCTAGTGTATGTAGGGTATGAACTTATTTTAATATGTTTCCTATATCTTGATTGCGTGAACCATCTTTTGTCTGTTAAGACTGTTGTTATCAGTAGGAAGGTTATCTATTGCGCTTGTTATTCACGATCAATTGCAACTATCGTTCACAAACACTTTGAATGCAATTTTACAGAAAATTAGGATGAAATACAGTAGCGTTAAAATAACCGAGTATTTTTTATGAGTTCCTTAGTCTTTCACTTTGTTTGTGCTGTCTGTGGTAAGACTCAAAAATGTGGTTTATTGGAAATGGTTCAAATGGTTGTGGACGGAATAGAAGAAGCTTTCGCTTAACAGGCTTCCGTGTCTAGTAGCAGGGGATCACCAAATACTCCAGGCAGGAACCTAGGTATGTCAACAATAAAAGAGGAAAAGAAATTGGTAAATCATAGTATGATACTGTCCTTGGTCCTTAAGAATAGGTCAACTCGCCTCTTGAAGGACTCCTGAGAAGTCGCTTGGACTAGCTCGGCCGGCAGCGAATTCCAGCTTTTGACAACTCTTAAGGAGTAGAAGTTGTGTCTACATCCCGTCTTGCTATGTTGAGTTTCCAGTTTCTTGGTGTTACCTGTTAGGTTAGTATTCGAACTAAGCTTGAGTAGGTGTTTAAGAGGATGTCCAGAAGTGCTAAGAATACTATAAGCCATTAATAAATCACCTCTAAGACGCCTATACTCTAATGTGTAAAGGTCTAGTGAATGGAAGCGTTCTTCTTAAGGCTTAGATTTGAGTCCGCGAACTGATTTCGTGGCTCGCCGTCGGATACGCTCCAAAGTGACCTTGCCCTTTTGGAGTGAGGGGGGAGTACTATATTTCCGTACTCTAAATGGAGACGGATAAAACTATTGAAGATTGTATGTAAAGTTCTTCCATCAAACTGGCCAAAAATGCGCTTCAATGTTACCAGTGCAAGGTTTGCTCGGAAGGCATTTTTGTCACAATTAGCGTAAGACTTTAAATCTTGGGGCACTAGGACTCCTAAATCTTTTTCGACTTGGGATACTACTAGAGAGGAGTTTCTTAAGTTATAACTGTAGTCTGCGACATGTCGCAGATGGACTACTTTACACTTTGAAGTGTTAAAGGTAAGTCCGTTATCATATGCCCAACTTTGAAGTCGAGTCAGATCCTCCTGAAGTGCCTGTATATCGTCTTGGTTGCGTATCTCTCTCCAAAGTTTCACGTCGTCGGCAAAAAGTAGTAAGTCTGACGTTACCTGTTGAGGAAGATCGTTTATGTAGATCAAGAAGAGAAGAGGCCCCAATACTGAGCCCTGGGGGACCCCACTAGGACATTCCATAGCCTGAGATAAAGTGAAATTAACCCTAACCTTAAAGTGCCGATTTTCTAGGTATGAAGTAAGCCAATCGATTAGAGGTGGTTTGATACCTAGTCGTTTGAGCTTATTGATAATACACAAGTGGTTAACTTTATCAAAAGCTTTTGAGAAATCAAGGTAAATGATATCAACCTTTCCCTTGCGATCGAGGATGCTTGTCCATCTGTCCACCGCAGTCAGCAGGTTGGTCATACAAGAGTAACCCTTCCTGAAACCATGCTGTTGGGGTGAGAAGAAATTTAAGGACAGTAGATAGTCGTTTAAATCATTGCATATCAGGGACTCCATGAGTTTTGAAGATAATGACAGAAGAGCCACCGGCCAATAACTTGAAGGTTCATTGCGTCGACCCCCCTTGAAAATTGGTGTGACGTGAGCCAACTTCCAATTTTCCGGTAGTTTGCCTTGGCTTAGCGAGTGTGAAAACATCACGCTAAGCGGCGTTGCCAGGATTGAGGCTGCCTCCCTCAGTATGGCAGAATGAACCATATCCGGGCCATGACAAGTATCTAGTCTTAAGTGCTGCAGTTTCCGGAACACCAAGTCAGCGCTTAAGTCCACTTCGGAAAGCCCTGTGGAATTGCAGATGAAACTGTCGTCAATAGAGTTGATGTCAGCCGGCTGAAATGTTTGAGAGTAATGTGCCGCCAGAAGGTTAGCGGCGTCACCATCGTTGTTGGTCGGGCCGTTAAGACCTAGCAGTTGAGATACTCCTGTTTTGGCTTGACGAAGAGAGGCTGCATAACGGAATAGGCTTCTAGGGTTCGAGGCAAATTTATCCATAAGCTTTGTCTGGTACTGAAACCTGTCTTCTCTTATAGCCTTCGTGCATATGTTCCTGATATGTTTGTATCGCCTATACGCTCCGTCGTTGTCAGTTCGTTTGTATTTCGCCCAACAGTGCCTTTTACGGCTTAGCAGGCGAAGGGTACGGTTCTTGATTATTGTAGGTGGCTTACAGCTTTTGGGAACCGTTTGAGGAACTGAATGGTTTGTAGCACATAAGAGCGTATGCAGTAAGAAGTCCCAATGACCGTCCACATCGAGTTGGGGGTGAACATCCCAAACCACCTGTTGTAGATAGTCATGTAGAGCTGGCACATTCAGCCGTTTAAAATTCCAACGCAAATTATTGTTGGGATACCTTAGCTTAGTTTTGGTGACAAAACTGAAGGCTATGACGGCATGATCGCTCTTTCCCAGAGGAGCCAGGATTGAGAGGTTGTCAACTAGGAATTCTTCGTTTGTGAATACACAGTCTAACCGCGATGGTTTCTGACTGTTTCTCCAACGAGTTGCCGACCTCACATTTTCATATAAGCCCAAGTCATCGATGAGGTTGAAGAACCGAGTTCAATTGAGTTGTCGCCTCCAGTATACGTGTGTTCCGTGAAGTTGACTCTAGGAAGATTAAGTCCCCTAGAAAGGTATCTTGTTCCAGACCTGACACAAGTCTCGACGCTTCAAGCTATAATCTAACTTACTTAATGTCTCATGTTTATTTAACATACTGAACTAACACAATTTTAAAGCTCTTTGGAACACAATGAAAGCTAACTACCTGAAGTATCTTATGTGTGGAGTTGTTCATTAAGTCATTTATAGAGTTAGTTTCAGTTTCAGTTTGGGAAGGACAGGAGGCTCGATGGCCTATGTTAGTCCTGGCAATGGTGGTCTCTCAGTTGATACAACTTTCTTTTGAAAGAGTCGACGGATGGAGCCTCAACCACGTGCTGAGGTGGTGAATTCCACTCGTTGATGATTCGATGGGAAAGTCGATAGTTTTAAGCAGGGGCTAGCCGCTTGTATGCAGTACTCAAGTTTAGGACGAACGAACACTGTATACATAGTCAAAAACGTCTTAGCGTCGACATGACTAAAAGCCCTACGTATTGACCATAACGTTCTAAAACTTTTGGCGGCTATTGCACGGCAGTGTGCAGTAGTTTTTAAGTCTTGGCTAACGATGACTCCTAATTCATTATATGTCTGGACGACAGGTAGCTCAGTGTTATTCATCGTGTATGTATCTGTGCCTTGATGACCGATATGCATCACAACACACTTAAAAGTATTTATCGGCAACTGCCATGTTTGAGACCATTCAGATAACTTCTTCAGGTCATTTCGAAGTTCTAAGCTATCACTCTTACATCGTATCGTTTTCCATATCTTGACATCGTCAGCATATAGCAAGACCGATGATGATAGGAGACAAGGAAGGTCATTTACATACAAGAGGAATAGCACTGGCCCCAAAACTGTACCCTGGGGCACTCGACTAAGCACAGTTTCCCAGCTAGATAACTTTGAGTTCACCCGAACTCTTTGTTGACGCCCAACTAAGAAGTCTTTTATCCACATCAATAAATTGCCTCCAATCCCGACTTTTCTTAACTTATATAACAGCCGGTTGTGCGGAACTTTGTCAAAAGCTTTACTGAAATCAATGAAGGCGACGTCTACAGGTAGCTTTTGGTCCTTAAGAGCGCACCAGCTTTCACGAGCCACTAATAAGTTAGTGAGACAAGAATAACCTATTCTAAAACCGTGCTGCTTCTCCGAGAGGATCCGGTTTTTATCGAGATACTTAAACAGCTCCTTCCGAATAATCTTTTCTAATATTTTAACAGCCACACTAGTTAGGCTAACGGGGCGGTAGTTCTCAGGTTTGTGTTTCGTGCCTGTTTTGAAGACAGGACTTACTATGGCGTTTTTCCAATCTTTCGGTAAGCGACCCTGCGTAACGGATAGGTTAAAGCATGTACTTAAAGGGCTTGCAACGAAGCTAGATAATTCCTTTAGTAGCCTAGGATGTAATTCATCGGACCCCGTGGATTTACCTATGTCAAGCTTATTTAGCAGACCAAAGACATCGAGTTCTTTAATGGTCACGCTATCCAGTATATGTATGGAGGAATCTGTATACGCTGACGAGAAGGGCGCTTCTGTGGTATACACGTTGCTAAAGTAGTTCGAGAACGCTTGAGCCTTACCAAAGTCGTCCTCCGCTAATGATGAAGCAGTACTGTCTCCCCATAGAGCAGGAATATTTCCTTTTCTCCTTGTCCTTTGGTTTATATAGGAATACAAGCGTTTAGGACATTCTATGGATTCCTTAACAAGTTTTTCTTCGTACAATTTTCTAGACTTACGGAGGGTCGAGGCACCAGTGTTCCGAGCCTTTCGATACTGAGATTTTGACTCATCAGTCCACAGTAACCTAAATTTATCCCACATTTTCCTTTTCTTACGGAGAAGGATACGGACCTCCCTACTGAACCATGGTGGTGAGTTTTTCGGCCCCTTTGGTATAGTCCAAGGGATGTGAGGTGTGGTAACTTTTAAGTATGTATTTCGAAATGCGTCCCAGGCCGTTGCAATGGAGGACTCTGTGTTTATTGTCCAATCTATTAACGATGCTGAGTGCATGATGTCTGGTATGTTTGCTTTCCAGACGTTGGGTCTGGACTAGACTGACGCGTGCTCGTGACTGGCAGTTATATGGAAGTCGAAAGTTATAACTGCGTGGTCACTTTTACCTAGGGGTGGCATATGATGGAGGTTCGCAACATCATCCTCAAAGTGAGTCAGTATCAGATCTAGTAAGGATTATTCAGTGTCCGGGTCGTACCTTGTCGCTTCTTTCACATGTTGCACTAGAGCACATGTGATAATCCCATCAACTAGTTCCTGCTCGAAAGAATTCTCCGACGATTTAGTTCGCAGATTTTCCCAGTCTACCATAGGTGCATTAAAGTCCCCTAGAATTAGACAGTGACCACTTTGGGACCAAGTATTGAGACTGCTTAACAGGATCTCATTTGCCTCACAGCTTGGACTGCGATAGACCAAACCAATCAGCAGCTCTTGTCCCTTGCATTTTAGGCGAAGACTAACTAATTCACACGTCCCACTCTCATGGGATACACTATCGATAATGGCACATGGGATAGCATTCCTAATGAATAGAGCTACTCTCCCTCCTTTGCGCTTTTGTGTTCTGTCGGCCCTTACTAACGTAAAGCCCTCGAAATCAAGTTTTATACTATCTATAGCCTATGTCAGCCAGGTTTCTGTTACTGCGATTATGTCTGGCTTTGTAGAGTCAATCTGTACACCTAGTTCCGATCGCTTATTAAGTAAGCTTCGTGCATTGGTGTAACAGATCCGAAGCCTGTTTAAGTGCCTTCGTGCTTCACCTAGAGTGGCTTCGGCATCATTCTCTTTCGAAGTCTTACAACCCGAAAATTTACAAATTTCAGGGCCTTTTCGCCAGCGTCTAACCTATGTTCTAGTTCTTTCTTGGCTTCCCGTCTTTTAACACGGTCTGCCAACGGTAGGTCCTTTCGGATAAAGACTCCTGAACCCTTTAATTTGTGTCCATTTTGTAAAATTAGGTCACGTTCGTTCGAAGAGCCGAATACTACTACGAGCTTTAGGTTCAGAGCTATCGCCCTCCTTGATTCTATGAAAAATAGCTGATCTGTCGCTATGATCAGCTTTCGATTTTTCAACCACTTTTACGGGGGCAGGTTTCCCTTTTATATCCCTACTTTTCTTCCTTACAACCATTCGTCAACGGTGCTGGTAGGAGCAATAACAGTTGCTTCAAACCTAGTGTTGGGTTTTGGGGGGTTCTCCACGACCTGAGGGGTCGTGTTATGTTTACCGTTTGAAATTTAGGATAAGCAAAATACAAAGTTTGAAACTAAGAACTGAACTTGTGACCCCTTTAACCATCACTTACATTTCAAAGTACTAACTAAAGCAGTTTGACTTTATTTTAAATGGTGTTGTGACCTGATAAACGTCTGAGTAGTTGTCATTGGAGTCAGAGCTGTTGCTTTATTACGGATTTGTAGTAGTTGTGATCGATGATTAACCAGTGAAACTTGGTATAAAAAAATAGCATTTCATATACTTGATCGAATTCCATTTTGTAGGAACCACTGAGGCTACCTGAATACCCAAACCAAAGCACGCTAATTCGCATTTGAACCTATAGACCGCAAATTGACAGAGGATTGCTTTGACTAGTAAGTCACTTTCCCACTCGGAATAACTAAATACTCACTGAACACAATCTTTCCTTGTAAATACTTGCAAGTTAAGAAGTGGTTTACTTTTGAATTGACTTTGTATTTAAACTAGTTATACCAGTAAAATCAATTTAGGTAAATACTATTGAATGTCGAAGAAGGGCAGTTAATGTATTAGCATTTATAATATGAAAGACCAAACATTAATATTATAGTTCGACAGAACGTGATGAAAAGATGCATGTGAAAAAGTACTGGTATTCAAGACTTGGATGGCGATAACAAAAATGAATGTATCTGTGCCACTGTGACCAATCCTGAGTTGTGCCACCCAACGTCTTAGGCTACTGATCGCTGTTGTCAAGCAGACCCTGACCAAGTAGTCTACGACTACCAAAGTAACTCGGATCAGTAGAAAATGAATTCTTGAGTTTCGCCGTGTTTTTTTCGTAAATGTTTTCGTGAGCATTTTACTTTTGCACATTTAGTTAGTTTGTTTGTTGTATATTCGGTAATGTTGCTCAGTGAACTTACTGTTTGTGACGATTTACATTTTTGACAAACTATTTGCTATCTTTGCTTTTTATACTATGCCCATCCACAATATTTCTTACCTGTTTCACAAAATTTGAGAAATGCTTGGAAGTCAAGTATTATGAGGACCTCACAGCCTACGCATATGTTCTGGTTTCAAAGATAAAATTTCAAACAGATTAATACAGATGGGACTGATAAGTATTACGCACGCCATTTGATTGGCAGACGGACATCTCTATCACATTAAAAATGGGCCAAGTTGACAAAATCCTAACAAGGTTTCTTAATAAGTGACGAGATTTCTCCAGATAACAACCTCTCAAGGCTGATGGTACCTTTAAATTAGATAGGTGTTGAAATTCCTCAGTCCGTACGATCGGTGTTCTGAAACGAAATTCTACATAAAGAGGGAGAGAAACAAGTTCCATGTATGCATCGGAATACTGCATTTTGCCAGTGTTTTCACCAAATAGCACGAGGGCTTTTATATACTCAGTGTCTATTATCAATTTCGAGGAAGTAAATAAATCCTTGTAATGTTATATGAAAAAAACCTTATAAGGTCTAGTACATCTATTGCAATATTAAGTAGAAATAAAGTATCCAGAAAAGCTAATGTACATCGCTTGAAGCTTAAAATGTAGATTGCAATTCACTTTGAGTTCATACTCGTCTAGTAGAAGTTGAGGAGTGTCTACACCATATTTATTTTCTTCTTTTGCACAAATTTTAACAGCCCATATTGTCGTAAAATGTGTTGGTCAACACAGTTGAGTGGCAGCTAAAGTTTGGTGGTTGAAAAATTATTTAGTGCATAACGCTTATGTTTTTATTGTTCTTCCTTAGTTCTATGCATGGCCATTGTAGTTTTCAGGCCCTTTGATTTTATTCAGTTTTAGAGTGTTATGAATATTATACTATGCATATTGGTGATAATAAATCAGACTATTTACCATCATTGATAGTGCAGAAATCACCCGTTAACTTTTATATTGGACTTTGCCTCGCCTTATTGTCGACCTTATTCATTGGAACTAGTTTTATATTTAAAAAGCTTGCACTTCGTCGAAGTTCGAGGAATGGATCTAGTGCTGGTGAGTAAACCTATTCATTTTGATCTCATTTATGTGTAAATTTAACAATTTCTGCGCTCTCCAGTAAGGTGTATGTAGTTTCAAGTAACATATGTTTCATGTGAAATTCAGGTCGGTGTTGTAGGTGAAAACTCAGGTTGAATTATTCATTCTAGTATTAACTTTTGGAGGATATTATTCACAGTATGTTAATAGATTCATTAAACACTTCATCACTATGATACTGACGTAGCAAAGTTATGTTATATTCAGTTCCACAGAACTCGAACAAACGGTGTTATTCTTATAATGATTCAGAATCGTATATCGGGGATCAGTTACTTATTGGTTTAAGCAATTGGTTTTCAGTTATTAAGTCAGATGTTTGGGTCATTATATGTCATCTTTTATATGGTTAACCAGATAGTCTCTCTAGCTGTCAAATACCCCAGGTTGGCTCGAGGATTCATATACAAAAGTGTACTTTGTAAATGAGTTGGTTGTAGCTTATTAATTATAAATGACTGTATATTTACTTCATTGGTTGGGATGTGCGTTGTGGATCATGGACTACTGATTTTTTTGACATGTTATAATGGTTAACGAAGGAAGGAAGGAAGTGTGCATATTCTTTATCCACTTGAACCTAGTATTGAAGCTGGCAACTGTTAATAGGTAATCCCATGTGATTAAAGCCTAAAGATAACAATTTATTGTTTCACTATCTATTAAAAAATGTACCAATATGTATGTGTATGTCTTTACGTTTGTTAAGTAAGCTATATTATTATAATCAAAAATGAAGAGTTAGTGAATAATCGATAAATTTACCACATGATAGTCATAAAATATGATCAGCGAGCTTAGATGACATGATTTTAAACCCCTTTTTCATCTGGAAGTTGCATCCAGTTTTCGTATTCTGCTCATGAGTGAGTATTAGTATTACTTCACATTTAACTGTTATCGATCTCATTAGTTCATTTTGAACTAGACTGCTTCTGGTTTCTTCTCCACTGGAAGTTTTACTATTATTAATATCTGACTATATTGGTCGTCATTTTGATAATTCCCTCTCATAATTTAAGCATGTGGAATGTGAAATATCCACAAAACCCCTTTTGATTATAATCACAATATACTCACTAGTGATTGGCTGCAAATGGTATTTCCTGGAGTTCTAATGAGAAGCAGTGACTAGTGGAGTTTAACCGGGTTTGTTGTGAGATAGTAACTCACCGAAGACAATGGTGGATGTGTTGCTCAATTTGGTGAATTAGTTGAAGTTAGAAATTAACACCGTTGGATATCGGCAAGCTCAGTGGTCTAGTGGTTAAGTGCTCACTCGAGAAACTGATAGGTCTTCGATTGGAATCTCGCGATGCGGGATCGTGAATGCGCATCTCTGGGGAGCCCCACAATAGGACGAAACGCCCGTCCGATGATTCCAGGTTTTCCATGGTAACCTAGTTTCAATTGATTCATGCTCTCAACTATTAAAATTCTAAAATAAAAACGTTTGAGAAAAAAACTAGTTTTCAACTTATTATTATTGAGTCAATTGATCAAAATTGACCTAAATGATTTACTCGAATTCAAGTGACCTTAATTAACATCAAGAATTAATCTCTTTATTTTCAATAAATTTTTCTATAATAAAATAGTTTTTAATAATTTGTTTGATTAATTTAAAATTTCTGAATATTCATAAATATATCCATTTACTTATATTCACATTTAATGGATTGTAACTTAAATATCAAGTATGGATTTTATGTAGTCGGCTTTTAATTACAATGTAAACACCTGGATGGAATGTGAGGTTCGGATCTGGAACTCTTACTAACTGAAAGTCGAATATTTTAGTCGACAAAATCCAAACCTTCAATTTGTACGGTACTGTATTTCATATGATAATCAATGAATTATATCCATACATAAAAGGAAATGTATGAACCGTCGTACATATGTCGACCAGCTCCACTGAACATGCCCAACATCGAAGCAGCACCCACGGACCTCCCAATCAATGTTGGCCCACCAACAATTGAAGAAATCAGCATGGCCATCAGACAAATCAAGAGTGGTAAAGCAGTAGGACCAGACAACATTCCAGCAGAGGCACTAAAAGCAGACGTAGCGGCAACTGCAAGCATACTCCACATTCCTTTCAATAAGATTTGGGATGAGGAACAAGTACCAAAAGACTGGAAAGAAGGACTTCTGATCAAAATACCGAAGAAAGGAGATCTCAACAACTGTGATAACTACAGGGGCATCACTCTTCTCTCAATACCAGGAAAAGTCTTCAACAGGGTATGATTAAACAGAATGAAGGACTCCATAGACGCCCAATTTCGAGACCAACAGGCAGGATTCCGTAAGGATAGATCGTGTACAAACCAAATCTCAACACTACTGATTATTCTGGAACAATCAACTGAATGGAATTAATCACTGTACATCAACTTCATTGACTATGAGAAAGTATTTGACAGCATGGACAGGACAACACTATGGAAGCTTCTTCAACACTACGGCGTGCCTCAGAAGATAGTCAATATCATACAAAATTCCTATGATGGATTAAATTGCAAAATCGTGCATGAAGGACAACTGACAGACTCGTTCGAGGTAAAGACCGATGTTAGTCAAGATTGTTTACTCTCACCCTTTCTCTTTCTCCTGGTGGTCGACTGGATCATGAAGACATCAACATCTGAGGGGAACCATGGGATACAGTGGACAGCTAGAATGCAGCTGGACGACGTAAACTTCGCAGATGATCTGGCTCTTCTATCGCACACGCAACAACAAATGCAGAAGACGACCAGTGTAGCAGCAGCCTCAGCAGCAGTAGGTCTTAATATACACAAAGGGAAAAGCAAAATTCTCCGATACAACACAGCATGCATCAATCCAGTCACAATTGACGGAGAAGATGTGAAAACCTTTACATATCTGAACAGCATCATTAATGAACACGGTGGATCTGGTGCAGATGTGAAGACGCGGATCGGCAAAGCAAGAGCAGCATATCTACAATTGGAGAACATCTGCAACTCAAAACAACTGTCTGTCAGCCAACACCAATGTCAGAATTTTCAATACAAATGTCAGGACAGTCCTACTGTTTGTGGCGGAAACTTGAAGAACTACGAAAGCCATCATCCAGAAAATATAGGTGTTTATTAACAGTTGTCTAATCAAAATACTTCGGATCCGTTGGCCGGACACCATTAGCAACAACCTACTGTTGGAGAGAACAAACCAGATACCAGTGGAGGAAGGAATGAGGAAGAAGTGCTGGAAGTGGATAGGACACACATTGAGAAAAGCATCCAACTGTGTCTCAAGGCAAGCCCTCATTTGGAATCCTCATGGCCAAAGGAGAAGAGGAAGACCAAAGAACACATTACGCCGAGAAATGGAAATAAACATGAGAAAAATGAACAAGAATTGGATGGAACTAGAAAATAAGGCCCAGGACAGAGTGGGTAGGAGAATTGTTATCGTCGGCCTATGCTGCATTAGGAGTAACAGGCGTAAGTAAGTAAGTCGTACATATGTGTATGTGTAATGGCAATAATATAGAGGGTCTACTTAACCAGCTTTAAACCGAATTTTTGTACGTCTGTGATGGCTAGTAAACCTACCTGTCTGGATGGCAAAGAAATTAAACCAGTTGATGTGATTACAAAACTGAACCTGCTATGCTGATAAATACTGTTATATTATAATTGGACTAAAATTAGCCTATTTCAGTCCGTGATGAGTACTTCAACAATCTCTACAATCCTCTTGTCAATAGTTATTTATGTGGAACTATATAAATGCTCTTATTATTATTATTTATTTTACTAGGTGATGGATCTCTAAGTTATTTGTGTGAATGGATGTGGTGGATGGGTTTTATTTTAATGGGTATTGGTGAATTTGCCAATTTTGTAGCGTATACATTCGCTCCAGCTATACTAGTGACACCGTTAGGTGCATTATCTGTACTTGTTAGTGCACTGTTAAGTGTACGCTTTTTAAATGAACGTTTAAATTGTATTGGTGGATTTGGATGCGGTATATGTATATTAGGTTCAACTTTAATTGTATTACATGCACCAAAAGAACAAAATTTAACATCACTACATGAAATGTGGTTAAGAGCTACCGATCCAAGTAAGTTTTATATTCTTTATTGTACATTCACAACATTTTATCTCTAATATGACTATTCGTATTCCTTTTTACATAATCAATGAAGCATAAGAATTCCCAATAAGAATAACAACAGGCTAAATTGATGTGGCCACAAAATACTTATTATTTGGATCTCTATAACTTTGATAGGATTGTACAAGTAAAATATCAAATCACAATCAATATTACAAATGATAAGTCTCAGTGGGTGCATAATTAAGATTTTTTAAAATAAAAACCAGTCAACTATTGAGTGGTTTACTAGGGTGTTACTTATAAATCGATGAAAGACAATCACATCAATTAATGAGTTAGACAGAAAAGAAAGAACTTACAATTGAAATTATTCTTTCGAAAAATGTACTATAAAACAATCATTTTGACTGATTACATCATGAGGAACAAACAAAATAATTCAATAACTATCCAAGTTTTATAGTTTGATTTGGTTTAGTGATTTATAGAAATTGATTAGATACTAACTATAAACAAGATTTTATCAGCAACTGTTAGTATTTGAATAGTTTTTCATAGTTCAATTATACATCACAGGTAGCTGTTTCAGTCCTAGTTGTAAACTTTTTAGTTAAACTCTATTCCCCCGTGTAAAGTTGTTAGCGAAACATTTTTGCAATGTCCCGTGATTTTCTATAATTCTCTGGTTGATATTAGTCTTTTCATATTCGACTAATTTCTACATTAACTTGATGAAATTGGTTGCTCACTTAGATTAGCCTTTTTCTGTCACAGTATAGGAAATTTTTCTGACAGCTTCGTAGTTAAGTAAACTAAACAAGCTTCCATAATAGTAAAACATTGGTTTTAGGCTGATATTTAAACAAAATTAGGGAAGAAATGAGTGATCGATAAACGTATGTTGGAAAACTGACCGATATTATATCTTTCTGTACTTGTTGCACACAAATCTATTTTGTTATTCTTTAAGGTAATGAGCAATTTTTAACTCAACTCAGAAAGAAATATTACTTACTCATAACACCAGAAAATTGTTCCACATATCCCAATACCTCAATATATAATATGATGTCTGTCCAGTGTCCCTGAAGTATTTACAAGAGAGTTTGATATTTCCGGATGAAGTACCCCTCTACTCACTCAAAACTTACTAACTACTCAATCTTGACTCAGTTCGAATAGTATTTCTACATTCTAAATAGTAGTGAAATCTATACTATACCTCAGACTCTGATTGATACCTAAATTACCTTGAAGTATGTACATCAATAAGCGCACAAATAAGTTGTTCTAAGAATGTATCATTAGGAAGGCAAAGAATCTTATTCATCTACAACGGCTTTACATGGCTTATAAAATTGTTGAGGTTCAAAATCGGTTTTCCCTGTCAATCCTTTAATTGTTCTATACACGATTCTACTTACTCTCCATGTTTTATTGCGTACTCACCAGTAAGACGATGAAATGTTTCAGTGGAACATCGACGGTATGTACCCTTGCGGCTTGTAACTATGCTTGTCACCAACATCGTACTTCACTTCAGAGTTTACTTTGAGCAGACAGAAAAACAAACCTGCTTTATTATTATTTATTTATTATTATTTATTTATTATTAGAAGCTTTATTCAACAGTATATTTTTGGTACAACATAGAATTCTCAGCATAAAGTATTTCAACAAGTTTCCTTTTCTTATACCTTGATCTATTGTGACGATAAATTTTGAATGATAACCGGTTAGATGTTAGGAGTTCGGTAATCCACATTTGATTAATGTTCGTTCGTTTCAATGCATATTGCCAGCCACCATGATGTCGATGATTGTACCTTTTTGTATCACGTATAGCGAAAGGTTGTAAACTTTTCATAAACGCGCCTGAATAGATTGTGTGCACAATGGACATAATGATGAACTAAAACAAGCAACTAAAACAGATAACTTGATGAAATATGTAGATCGGAGGAACAGGTAGCCCAGATATTCAAGCAGGCCGCCACCTCAACCTCAATGTTCCCAATGCAATTTAGATCAAAAGAAGCATGTATCTGATGTGCCTTTTTATTCATACGAACTCATTCTTACTTCGTAATGTCACAACAGATTATTTAACTCTTATGTCGGCTCACCAGTTTAGTGGCCCGAGATCTGACTCCGATTTGGACGGGTGTATGAATACTCCAAGAATATAGATCTTCCATTTAATTATGTTACACTTAGGTTAACCTTTTGTGTGGAGATAATAAAAAACCAAATGCAGATTAAGCTGGACCGGTTTATTTCATACAATAGTTTATTCAGACTATTCAGAAATTAATAATGAGAAGCGGGAGAGCTAAGCGAGACGGATAATACAACTGTACCAACTACTTTTGATAATGCGTGATACAATATTTACAGCCAGACAAAAACGAGCTAAAGACTTGTAATAAATGGAGTAAGCGATACGCGAACACACACACGCTCATGTAAAAACAGTCAAGGTTAATAAGCGAATAATTGACAAGGTCAAAGTGTGACTCAAGTAGAGTAAATTAATCGATCTGTCTGAAACTTAGAATAACCGATATGGGGCGACACTACGCTCTACATGTTTTTTCTAAAAACTTAAATGTTAAAGGATTGATGTTTGGCATTTCTTTTCAATTTTCACACTAAGATATTGATGTTATCTTTTTTCTTATCGATCTCATAGTACAGTATAGTCTAATCATAAGTGTAAGTCCAAAGCCTATTTCATAGACGCATACACTTGGTTTCTGTGTCTGTAGGTTCTCATCAATCATTTCACTGAAGAATCACATTGACTTTGTTCAAAACTTCAGATAAAAATTCAGAAAAAATCAACTTGTTTCGAGCTTGGAACCCTGAAGTGATCACTTCAATATTCTTATATTTTACTCACTATACATTGCACTGATGCATTTATTTATCTAAGTATTTTGTTCTTATATTTGATTGTTTTTCTTCTCAGCTTTCATTATCTACAGTTTATTCGTTATATTAATGTCCATTGTATTGATTTTTATTTTGGGTCCACGTTATGGTAAAACAAACCCAATTATCTTCACATTGGTCAGTGGAAGTATTGGCTCATTGTCAGTTGTTGCTTGTAAAGGTATTGGTGTAGGATTAAAAGTGAGTAGAAAATGAGCTTTGAGATGGTGGATAAGATTTGTAGTTCAGGTGGATGATTTTGATAGAGTTTTGTTTTCTGAGCTGAATGGTTGTGAAGCTTTCATCGTTCTTCTGGACGACATCATCAGCACAAACTTCAGGTAGAAGTGAAGTGTTCTAATTTCTCATCGTTTCTCCATAACATCGAGGTCTACAGGACAATCTGTGAGCCATATGCGAAGAAATTCGAACACCACTTCTACCTGAAGTTTGTGCTGATGATGTCGTTCAGAAGAACGATCAAAGCTCCACGACCAAAACATCCAACTCAGAGAGCGAAACTCCATCAAAAAAGCTTCATATTTTCCTAAAATACATTTTGATTTATCCTCTATATTCTTTTTAATTACACATTTCAAAATCGTTGATTATGCTTAAATTACTTGCAAATAGTAATTAAACTGTAATCCAGTAGCTCACTTTTGCTCTGCTTATCTTGGTGTTGAATTAAAGACGAGTTAGGTAGAAAACTTGAGTATTTTTATCCATAGGTGTATACTCATCAGATCAAAATACGTTTACAATCTGTAAATAAATTAAAATGATTGGATGTAACTTATTTACAAGGTACAGATTTGTCTGTTCATTTCTAAGTCTCAAACTCCAATTATCAGGCCTAATTGTGCTACCCAGTTACGAAAACCTAACCATCACTCGATGGGTGATGTTATCTGGTGTAGGAGAAGGAATCTAGGAGTGGTCAAATGAAAACATGATATTAGCCCGCGAAGTCACCGACTGTTGAACTGATCTATATTAGTAGATGCCGACCACCTGGTTGGGCTTCGTTTAATAGCCACTATCAGCGATTGATTAGCTTCATGTCATCATGCTAATAGGGTATAGCATTTTGGGCCAACGCACATTTGTTGTATACCCTACGTTGATTATGACTAACTGTAAATGAAGTAAATGGGACAGAATTCGAATCCGCTACTTACTGATTGAAAGGTGAACAGATTGAAAATTAAGCCACCGTTCAATTGTTGAATTGGCATCCGCATAATATATAACATCCAAACTTGATGAGAAAGTGTTCTCGGCATTAATTCTATTTTGATAGTTGATATCATGAGCCTTTGGATGTCGGCTCAGTGGTCTAGTGGTTAAGCGCTCGCACGCCAGACTGGTAAGTCCCGGGTTCGAATCTCGCGAGGCGGGATCGTGGATGCTCACTACTGAGAAGTCCCACAATAGGACGAAACGGCCGTCCAGTGCTTTCAGGTTTTCCATGGTGATCTAGTTGCAATTGACTCATGATCTCAAATATTAAAATTTCTATAGTATCCACAAAACCCCTTTGATATTAATTCTATTCAAATAGACTATTTTATGATCTAACGGAATTATCAAAATATTGTATTTTTTAAATCACATTTATTTAATAATAAGTATATGTCATTTACTTAGCTTCTTCGTATTTTTCTCACCAAAATCACTTTTTACACAAAAAACTTTTAGAATGCATTCACTGTTGGCTTTTCATCAATGTTCTCATCATGGTTTTTTTGGTTCCTGATGATCTGGCTTATTGGTGCAATCACAATACAAATGTATTATTTAAATCGAGCATTAGATTTATTCAGTACTGGCATAATCACACCGTTACTATATGTGTTCTTTACTGGTTTTGTAATTATTGCATCAACAGTGTTATTTCATGAATTGAATGCATTGAATTATATGGATTATGTTGGTTTAATATTCGGTTTGATATTCACAGTGTTAGGTATTGTTATGATTACTGTGCTAAAGGTGAGTGTCAGCATGTTAGTTTGTTTAAGTGGCATACAACTTTGTACTAAGCATCAAACAATTTATTAGTGAAGATGAAAAATGAAAAAAAGATCTGATTTTTAAAACGAAAACCCGAAAAGTTTTTCACACCACTTCTCTCTCTCTGACAGACGGAACTGAATTATGTGCTATCGATACTGTGCAGTTTTGAGCACTAATTCTATGATATTAGAGACATTCTAATTGTTTTACTTGTGGTTCAGTGTAACAAATTGATCTGGTTCGTTTAGTATATTGAGAGTGTTGTACATTTTTTCAAGGTTTTAGATGTAAACAGTCAGTTTAATAATCAGAAATCTTGTCGATGAGAAGTATCTATTTATAAATTGGATCAGTAGTCGTATGCAGGTTCATATACTGAGAGTTAAGTGTGTTAGCAATAATGATATTACCACTTCTCTTAGTTGCCTAAACATAAGCTGGTCCTGTGTTGAAATTAATTATTTAAACTACTGATCCTAAATAGTTTAATGATACGGTCTTTGATTATGAAGATATGCCTTGCTAGAAAAGATCAACTATGAAGAGACATAAGTCTAAAATTCCTGAAAATGAACTCTGGAAATAGATGCTTGGGTATTGGTTTCCTTTTATTGAGGATGTTTTGACTTTTTGGTATGTGCTTTTAATTAGGGTTGACTCAGGTCAATATTGAGTCCACCCGTAGCTCTTCTAGTGTTACTACCAGTCCTAAGCCTGGGTAAAGAATGAGGGTTAGGAGTGGGGTCAGCAACCCCATCCCGTAGAAAACAACTTGCTGAAAAAAATTTAAACAAATTAAACATATGCTCCGGATCAATATTATGACTAATTAAATTGATCATAGCAAAAATCAGTATTATGACCATTTTCGCATTATTATTGTGATTTGTCCAATAAAGCAATACCATGTAGTTGGAACCTATTTGGATTTGTTATTCCATCTCATAAAATACCATATATATTTTGGTGTCTACTTATATTATTGGCTTTTACTGAGACATGAGAGTTGTCTTTAAAGTTTCATCTTGTTGCTTCTTGTTTGCCCATTATTGTCATCGCTGAAGTGTCGCTGTTTACTATTTGTCAGTCAGTTTAGTCACTATATACCTGTTGTATGTTAGAAGTATCTGTCACCATCTATACTTTGAGCTCCGAAATAACTACAAATCATACCAGCTTAACTCTCTGGTCCTACAACTTAATAAAGTATAATTTTTTACATAAAGCAAGAATGATATAAGTAATCAGTAAAATTTAATTAAATTGATGACGTATAGCATTACTTGATTATGAGTTTAATAAAACGCAACCCAGGTTTTCTTTTAATTTCATCTCCATCTTTTTGATATAATCTACTTATTCGGGTAACTGCAGACGAACATCATGTAGTTTAAAACGGTATTAGTTATCATTCGTCAGCAAAATATGTCTCCAATTTCATGAGAATTTGAACTTGATTTCTATGTGATTTACACTTGTTTAATCGAAAGCTGTTCGGTAAGAATCACTCTTTTAATGGTTGATTAGTGTAGTACCTTTTCTGTCCATGGTTAAAGGTAAAAAGTTAGTTTTTTGTAATGTTTAATTTAATAGGAAGTCATTCAGTAAAGAGTAAGATTTCTATTCGACGTTATTAGTTTAAACAATACAGTTGGTTTGTTAAAATATATACTTATGATAAGTGTTCGTGAGGATCGTTTAATGTGTATTTAGTTTTTGTTGTCTTTATATAATAATGATCATCTGTTCAGTATTGACCAACTTTGAAAGATAATCTTGATGTCCTCATTGAAAATCGTAATCAATAGAGAGCTAAACCAGGTTGGAAAGGAGACAGTAGCTTACCAAGGATACTGCATGATAGTCGTTTTATATTGTATACTACTTAAGGTATAGGATGTAGGTCTTTGAATCCTGACTGGCTGATCTGAAAGGACCGTGTTTGTTGTGTTACCTGAAGACCCGATTCTTGTGATGATCGTGAATATGCACTGTTGAGCTAAATACTACTAATGTTTAGTGTGTCTTGGTTTTCAGTGATTGAATAGTTGACATAAATCTTTGAAAAGTTTCAGTGAAACCTAGACTCATCTCTATAAATCTGTTAACCAAGTAGTACTATCTTATTTGGACTATAACTTAGCGGATGATCTGTAAATTAGTAGAATTATCAACTGATTCAATGAAATGAAGTATTCTAATCAGTTCGTTCTTATATTATCAGTTATACACATCAATTTAGTCATGTTTAAATGCTATTCGAACCTTTAAATTCACAAAATAATTCACCATATCTTCATTATATCTGTTTTCTGCTGTTGTAATTGTTGTTGTTTTTTCCTCACTGTTTTGTTAGGATTCCAATTTCTCATGGAAGAACTTACGAACATTTTTTCAGGCAAAGCATTCAACCTACTCGTCATCAAACAGTTCATTCGACATGCACAATAAACTTTATCGTCGTATTACTGCATTCAAACCAACATTGTATGACTGGAAAACTCGACATAGTAGACATTTATCATTCGATCAATTGAGTACCGAAAGGTTAATCTTTGATCATCATTCTGATTCTGAACTCACTGATGTTGTGCAGCTATCGCCACATATAACTAGTCGTGATATTAATCAAAATGGTCATCTAATGTCAGGTAAGGCAAGAATGAAAAAAATTCAAACATTTACTGATCCTCCACAATCTTATACTCTAACAAACGGAATAGTTTCTGTTTCTACTTAAAACTTTGAGACAAACTAAGCAAGATTCATTTCATTTATAAGTATGACAATCATCGTAAATGTATAGTTGTCCTCATAGATGGATGATACATATATATATATACTCTCCAAATCACGTTATATGTCACATTCCCATTCGTGCTTTAAGTTACTTCTATTTTCAACCGTTTTATTTAGATCATTTGAATTTCCATATGTACTGTGAACCCTTAAAATAAGAATGACAATTACGAGTTATTGTCTTTCCCAACTATTCTCATAATTTTTATCAGGATTTTTACTGTCGTCACTATATTCCTTTCTTTCTTTTTGTTTTGAATAATTCTAATTTGATTTTGTATGGGACAGTATTTTCTGATTGTTAATAAGTAGTATAAGTTGGTTTATTTTTTCGTTGTTGCTTTTCCCCCCCCCTCCATACTTATGGAACATTAACCACCTATACTTTTATTACTGATTATCTAATTAGGATTAGATAATCTTATATTTGACCAATATTATTAATTTTATAAATTGTATGAACATTATTTAAGCAAATTATTCAGACTACTTATTAATTTATTGAATAATGAACTTTATTATTTATATATCCATTTACTTATTCGTTCATTCATTCTTATTTACAAACATTGATACGTAAACAAAATGAGCATATTTGAATAAGATTTGAAATAGCAGTTTAGTGTTGTTGTTTGTTTGTTTTTCTATGATGATTTCTTGATATGAATTTTTTGTTTCAATTTTAGAATTTAATAAATAAAAACAAAATTATAATCAGAGAAGGGTTTTTGTGGATGTTATGGTAATTTAATAGTTGAGTTCATGAGTAGACGGTGGAGCAACTTCGTAAATTAGTTAAAGTTAGGTATTAACACCGTTGGATATCGACCGGCTCGCGCTTGCACGTGAAACCCATAGGTATTGGGTTCGAATTTCACGAAGTAGGACCATGGATGCGCACTACTGAGGAGTCTCATACTAGGACGAAACGATTGTCCAGTGCTTTCACGTTTTCCGTAGTGGTCTAACTTCAATTAACTCATCAATTCAACTATTAAAAAAATAAGATCCATATTAACTTTTTAATCTTATTGTTAATTTTCTTTACAAGAGAAAATCTTTTTTTAAAGTTGAACGTAATTATCTTTTCTTAATATTATATTACCTTATAATAATAATAAGATCAGTTATAATATGTATGAACCCTTCATTGGAAAATCTTTAATTGATTTATTCGAATATTTTATTTTATCTAAAGTTGGTTCTATTTGGTACAACTATAAAAGAAAAAAAATCATGTATTCATTTGATAACTATGTTAATCTATTTAGATTTACTATACTTGAGGAGGGGGGAGAGTATGATGTAATTACACAATATCACTTAATAAGGTAGAGATTATTATTTCAGCTTAAATAAAAATTATATTGATCTAACAGTAAAATGATTGAATATCCTAAAACATCGATACTTATACTACCTAGTTTTATTCATTATTGTATTTCTAATGGTCGATTGGTTAAACATACTTCAATGGTACTGAGTCAACTAATCATATGTCAATGTTATATAAGATGTGATTTTTTGTACCAAAACTGACATCAAGTTAGATTTTCAATGATTTTCTGAAATGATTTTATGCTCACTCAGTTATTAGTTGTTAAATGTTGTGTTATTTATTTGTGTGTGTACATAGTTGTGTATTTTATTTCATTAAATGCAACATAATAATGAATGACTAGTCAAACTATTTGATCAAAGAGCGAGACTCTAATTTATGGACGAGCCAATCAGAAGCGTTTGAGGAATTTCAAGGTCACAGAATTAAGTTCAACACCTGATGCTCACATACGATCGGTTTACAGCGGATTTTAGAGAAGAGGTGATTATTGAGCGGCTACAAGAAATGAGACTACTAAGAAGTTCCTGTGACTGTGGTACAGTGTGCAAACTATCGTGATGAGATTGTATTTCGTTGTTCTTTATGTTGGAGAAAAAAGTCTGCTCGGACGGGGACTTTCTTCGCTCGATCGCGACTGAGACTGAGGCAAATCATGATAATAGTTGCAAATTGGATTATAAAGGCACCAGTAACACTGGTTGCGGCGTTTTCAGATGTTACTAAAACTTCAGCCGTCCGGTGGTATGAGTATTGTCGTGATATATGTGCACTTAAAATGACATGTCTACACGAATCATTCGGAGGAGTCGGAAGTATTGTGGAAATAGATGAAACAGTAGTGCGAGAACGAAAATACAACAGAGGACGTAGTATCAAGAAAGATTGAGTAAGTAGCACTTCCATAAATATACTTGACAGGTACTTGGAATTTATGATCGCTCAACGCAAAAGGGGCATTTCCAGAGGGTGACAAACCGTCAAGCAAGCACAATAATACCAGTTATAAAGAAATACGTGCAGCCGGGCACTACGGTATATACAGATGATTGGAGAGCGTATAGATGCCTTCATAGACTTGGGTATGTTCATCATGTCGTAGTGCATAAACGCCATTTTGTCGACCCTACTACCGGCGTTCAAACTAACAACATTGAAGCCATGTGGTCGAGGTTGAAGGAATTTTTAAGACCGTACCACAACTCCAGAAGACGACTATTATGGAGCCATATGGACAAGTTCCTATATCGTATGCATTATGATTTCAGAACATCTGAACCTTTATCAAACCTTAACAAGTTCTTAAATCGTGTAAAAGGAGAATATCCACTGTAATTCATTAGTTTCTGATAATATATTTTTACTTTATATTGTCTTCTGATTGGTTGATAATTTTCAAGGTCACTCAAGATTCGTTCAAGGTTCATCCATAAATTAGAGTCTCGCCGATCAAAGTGCAAGTTAAGGATTATTGGTGAATGTAACTAGTCAGTTGACCCAATGTCATGGATATATTTTCTTTCATGAGGCCATATTAATTCTTTTCTCATTTATCAAAATCCTGATTAGTAAATGATTGTCAATCTTAATATCGTCAATCAGTTGTTACGATTGCTGCAGAGCAAAGCTAGGCATGTAATATGGTATGTGAGATGTAAGTTTGAATAGATGTTATTTCATTGCAATAAGACGCCGAGAATACTGTTCTCCGATTATTCACTAATAACTCCGGGTTAATACATAGAATTTTAAATTTAAATGACTGAGCTAATGTAAACTGGCCGATAATATCTATAAAATTCACAGTGAATATTACAAAACAATATATGATTAACAGTTCGTAAGTACATAACTTGTCGGTCGGTCGATGTAAGCCCTTGATGTTAGCATGATGTTATAACTAATGTATCATTGATAAATACTACCATATAGTACACCGTTATTGTTCGAAAAGTAGCTGCGACAATTAATAATTCAGGCTGCGAAGAAATGTCTAACAGTTTATGCTTCATTAAAATGGGAATCCTAGCTACATTTTCTTTTACAAACAAATAGGATAGAACGACAATCTAGATGAACACCTGATTCAATTTGTTTGCTTGTGGCCAAGATCATTTCAGATGATGATAATAATAATCACTTTATTCAGTAAGGAATCTCAGCACAAAATATAAAAGTTACAACAAACTTCTTATTTTATAAGCATTTAAGGTGTAAATATTTAAAATAGGTAAATCAAGCTTCTAAATAAGCAAAGATGGATAGTGGATAGCATTGGAATCCAGGACGCGCGTTTCGTCCTATCTGGGACTCGTCAGCTGGATGTAACTGCATCTCAGAGTTGATGTTCACTCTGGTGTTGTGACTTTATGTCCGGCTTCTTATCACGTGATTTATTCACCAATCTAAATACGACTTATACACTTCAACACTGTGCGAAACCAATGACGTTCGACCGGTATGAGCAGCCTAGTGTCCTTATTGGTCCTATGTCCGCCTAGCCCGTCCACTTGAGTCCAGAACACCAATATTAGCTTCCACTATACAAATCGAATCCTTTATTTCAGACATACTAGGTTTATATATCACATAAAAAGACCGCAACGCACCGTAAAATAGGAAATAACATTTGTACACAATAAAGCCAAAAAGTAGCTGAGAACGTGAGAGGCAATAGTTAATAAACTGAACATAGCTTAAGAACAGTGATAAATAAGGGTCAAAACAAAGCTTATATCAAGGGGAATATAGATATAAATAATCCAGTTGCTGAATACCACGAGAATATACAAATAGTATTTGTTCATTAATAGGTCTCAGTCGTTACTCGTAATGTAATCTTCACTAGGATATAACACTGGGACTCGAACCCAGTGTCATTCGCTTCAAACGCCATCGCGTTATCCACTCAGCTACTGAGTCCTGATAGCCACTTGCTTGTGCAATGTGGTGAATTTGAATTTACTTGGTACTGTTTTGCTTGTATCTTCCCATTGCGGTTTAAGACTGCAATTGATCAGTCTGTTATTGGCATATGTGCGTATGCCTCGATATTTCTGGATGTACCATCCAGCTGACGAGACCCAAATACGACGAAACGCGCGTCCTGGGTTCCACTGCTAGCCGCTATCCATCTTTGTTTATCAAAGCTTGTGAATTAAGGCAATATCGGGGCGTACACACAGTATGCACATATGCCAATAACAGACTAATCAATTGCAGTCTTAAACCTCAATGGGAAGATACAAGCAAAACAATACTAAGTAAAGCTTTTAAGTAGTAATTAGGAGCCATTCATATTCATCCAAAATTTTTATGATCAATCTTGTTCCCGTAACACATTTTTTCATCCATTAATATATTAGATATATAAATTCTTTTGCAATAGCTCCTCATTTTTGCATGTACACTTAATTTGTAGACAAAATTAGTCACTGACACTATAATTTATGAACGACCTTTGAGCGATGCTAGACTGACCTTGAAAATGTCCATCTACTTACTTGAGCTAAATGACGGTTATAAACCTGTGTGAAAGATAAAGATTATGATTTACAGCTGATGGTTGAGGTAAGGAATTAGATTCACGGTTTTCATCACGAACTGACATCAGCTATAATGCCTAAATTATATTTAGCCAAATGAATGAATTGATTTCGCGCCAAAACCCGAGACTTGTTATCTTATACGTGATTGGTTCGTCCATGAAATTATAGTCTCGCCGTTTACTTGTTCATTCATTCACTTAGACTGGCTTTTTATTTCAATGTATTACGTTCAAATTTTCAATAAAATAGCTTAGTTAGTTCAACATAGTTTCGTTCTTTTAAAAATGTAAAACCATTTCAGTTATTTATTTGTAAATATGTACTATTTAAAACCGGGCAGAATTTATATGGGATGTTTTCAATGTTTTAAAAATGGGTTGTATTTAATACTTTCAGTCATTACGCACTTAAGTTTTAGTGAGTGAGTGCTGAATATTGAGGTGTGTTTTTTACCAAATATTTCATTCCAGCAGTCTAAGCCATCTGCAATTCGCTGATTTTAATATTTTTTGTAGTGTACTCCAAAATTTCCGATGAATCAGTCAGTCAGCAACAACGTAGAACTTCGTACGTACGTACATTAGTTCGACTTGCCATACCACATTAGCCCACACATACAATTGTCGATTCGAATCCCGTAGTGGTAAAGATAGTAAGAGTATGAGCAGCAATCGAAAAGATTAGGGTTTGAAGATGTTATTCAAGGAGTATAATACAATGTTATAAGTTTGGAGAGAGGAAAAAAGGGACATGAAAAATTCAGAAGATTAGAATTTGGGAGAACACAAAGAGTGGATGCACCTGTGCCATTGCAAACGATTTTGAGCTATGTCGTTCAAGGTCTCTAACCATCGGTTTCTATCGTCTTGCGGATCCCAACCATGTAGTTTTCACCTACCAACATGAGTCAGTTCACTTATCCGTGACTTCATAGATTTGTGCCAGATGAACAGCACAAATATATTGAAAAGTAATGCTTGAAATGAAATCGTTTATGAAAACCGTGTACCAATATGTAGCACTTTACTTATTTAAACACATAAATATAGGTACAAGAAGGCTCCAAGCAGATATGCGCCACATAAACCATTCGATTCGTGTGAAGGCTAGGATACTGCCGGGGTGCCCAAACCGAAGCAGGTGGTTTTCTCAGTGAGCCACACCCCGA